GGTGCCTTTTGATCACGACAGACGGCACACGTTCCCGAACGGCTGCCGGCGAACTAGTAGGCATGTGCTGACTCGGCCTCTGCGCCGTGCTCGGCGGCGCCAGCCTCGGGTGCACCCTCGGCGGGGCAGGCGTGACGAACTGCGACAAGTGATCCTCGTTCGCGTCGTAGCTCGACGTCAGCGTCGGCGAACCGGGAGCATTCTCCACCTTGCCCAGAGCGCTCGAAGCCGCCGGCTTCCTCGCCGCCCGGGGCAACGGGCTGCCGTCAAGATCTTTTCCCGGCTCGTCAGGGAGGGGTTTCCTGGTCGCTCGGACGGGTGTGGAGTGAGCCGCTGCTTCGGTGGTGCGGAGAACCGTCCGGGGTTGCGGGGAACCAGAAGGGGAAACCTTTCTCTTTCGGGCAGAAGAGACGGGGTCCCTGGCTGCGGCCATGTCGCGCGGTCCCGAGGTGATGTAGTTCAGCTGGGCCGACGATGGTGAGGACGGATTACTAGACGCCCCGCGGTGGCCGCCTCGACCGACACGCCAGGTTTGCTTGATCATTTCTTCGCGGTTCTCGGCCACCAGCTGCCACTTCATGCCCTTGCCCGGCTCATCAGAGTGCCTTGCCACCTTTTCAAACGCTTTGTGTAGGGAAAGATTGTGACGGATGGAGTTCTGCCAGCCACCAGCTGGTTGATGGCGGTAGTAGGCATACTTGGTAGTGATAAAGTGGTAAATTCCCGCCAGTGTGCATTTGTGATCGGGCGTGGAAATGATGGCCTGTGTGATTAGCTGAGCGTAGCTGTATTGGGGCTTGATGTGCGCATTTTCATCGAGGCTCAGATCGACATCCGAGTTGGTCATCAAGATAGGCCCGGGAGTGGAATCAACATTCGGCCCCTTGACGCCCAACCCTACACGACGAATCGAGGGGGGCGTACCCGGTCGCTTGTAGTCGGGAGGCGCAGGCGCCAGCGTTTTTTGGGCACCATGACCTCGAGATGACTTGTTGGGGGAGCTCGAGTGAAGGCCATCACCCGAGGGAAGCGGATGGCGGACCGACCGGACGGGAGCGGCAGCTGGTTCCGGCTTCCCGATTCCCGCGCGCTCCAGGTACTGTTTGTGTATGGCGAGCGGGCTAAGCTCAACAGGGAGGACAAACATCATCTCGACCCCGCCAATCTCGATAACCTCACCGCTCTTCAAAACGCCAGATTGCCCATTCCTCCAAGGGATGCCATCGACCTTGAGCGCATTGCGACCTTTGACCGTCAGGCGCCACGCCTCCTGGTCCCCATCAAAGTAGATGACGGCGTGCAGCCTCGAAATCATCTTACTAGGTCCGAGATCGACGTGAACGGCATTGTCGTCAGCGACAGGCGGAGCCGAGCTCCCCTGAGTGTCGGCCGGCGCTGGCGCAGGAGAAGGTGCGGCCGGAGGGTCGGGACAGCGTCCAATATTGACCTTGAGCTGCCTGATGAAATAAGTCCAGTCCGAGGCGGCAAGCTTTGCATAGGCCTGAACACCCTCGTTATTGTTCTCGTGAAGCAGGTTTGAATGATCCCTGCTGGCCTGGACGAGCTGGTTCGGCTGCGCGGGCGCGTGCAGACTACGGGACACCTTTGTTATAAGTTCCTCGTCCGTCAAGGGCGTGGTCGATTGGTCGGCGACATGCGAGGAATCACCCTCGTCGGCAGGCTCGACAGCCGCATCGGGAGCTTCGGCGACGTCGTCATTCTATCGTTTGACACATTACATGTTAGCGACCCATACATGATGATGGAGCTAGTGGGATGCAGGTCCAAGAAAAGGAGGGGGAGGGGTTCAAGGAAAACATTGACGATGCGGCTTCAGTTGCAAATGCGCCAGCGCCAGCGCGGGGTTGGAGATGGAGATGGGGTACCTTTTTACGACGCTTCGACGGGCGCGACGGGGAAGAGTGCTCGACGACAGCCTCGCTGCGAGTCTCTCTGCGGGCGCGTTGTGCGCGGGGTGAAGGCATTGTTGGATGTTGTATTTTTTTTTATCTTTTTTTTTATTTGGATTGTCGCAAACAAGATGCGCCGGCTGTGACCATGGGTGTCGACGGCGTTCCGAGTGAGGGGTTGTTATCGGATGTGGACGAATGAATGGACAGCAGAGAGGTTGAGCCGCAGGGCAGCTGAGGAGAGCTCAAGGAGAGAGCTTTTTGCGGTTGGGAGTGGGAGTGGGTGATGCTGCTTCCTGGTTTCTAGGTGTCGCTCGGAGCTTGCTTGAATGCGACACGCGCACTGGGGTTAGGAACTGGTGGGAGTACTCCGTGATAAACTTTAACTTGATCGACAGTAACAAGTTTAAAAAAGTAAAAATGTATATAAAGGAGCGTGTGGAGTGTGAGTGGTCGGAGGGGCGATCCCGCGATTGCTTCGTTGGGAGACAATGACGAAGGAGTCCTCGGACTGGTCGAGTCGGCGCACTTTTGTTGGTGTTGGTTTGGTGAAGGTGGGCGATTGTTTAATTGACCACACGAACGCTGGTTTTTCGCGTCGGGCGATTCAAAGGCGCGCGACCTCTCGACTCAACCAATCACAGCCATGGATTCGCCCTTACAGTGGAGGCAACTGTGGAAACGCACGTGCAATCCTCGTCGACTTTGTTCGTCATCAAAGGAGTCGTCCCTCACCAATCCGGAGATAAAAAAGAGGTGGCAGGCAGGCAAAGTGGCTGTTTGCTTTCCCTGTTTTTATTCTCTGCCCAGCCTCGTCCCCAAAAGTTCAAAAAAATAAAATCAATAACTTTTTTGTGTCCCATGTGCAATCTCCAAGATATCCACTTGACTGACACCTTATCTTGTGAGAGATAAAAACAATAAAAAAAGTCACCCAAGGAAAGGGGTTGCGCCTCAAACTTAATTCACTGGCGGCTGCCCACACTTTGTCAGAGCATCGAGTCTCGAGCCATCTCCTGTCAAAGTCGGCAACAATTCTGCAGGTACTGGAATCAACTCTGCAGTAATTAAGCCAAGACCTCTATCAAAATGCAAACAAAGACAATCCCTCTCCTCAAGCTCCCATGTGAAAGCAGCCCCCCCAAATAAAACCTGCCCAGCCTCCCAGTCAGGAGTATCCTTAAAAAAAAAAGGGGCTGTCAACAAACCTACCACTCTTCTCCCCCAGCCACCACCCACCGAAAAAACACGCCCAACCTCACAACCACAAAATCCAAAACAATAAAGCCACATCAGTCTGTAGGAGTGAAGATTTCTCATTTTTTTCCCGCTTGTATATCTCCCCCCCAAAAAATAAACTCTCCCCTCCCAATTTTCCCATCACTCATCGCTGCATTTCCACCTTTTTCGCTTTGCGTCAATGATGTTTTGTCTCCCTCCTTCCCTCAACCCCCATCCCATTTTATTCATCAATAAAATACCCTTTTTCCCCTTCCCTGTTTTGAGCCTTTCCAGCAGTAAAATATGTACAAGTGCCATGACGACGAAAAGAGAAAAAAGACAATAAGTACAAGAGGTTTGTGCATAAGAGCCATGTTTATGTGTCTTCATCCAACGCACCGTGTGAGTGATGGAGAAAGGAAGCAAAAAAAAATGCCCTATGAGTTTATACAGTGACAGAAGATGATAGAGATGGAAAAAACTTTTTTGTTCCCGAGAAAGTTTCCCCCCTCACCCTTTCCCGCACCAAACTTGCTGGAAAAGCTAGCCCCGAAACAAGGAAAAAGAACAGCGAGACAACGTCAAGAACTAGATTCAAGCAGTGCCGGAAGCGCCACCCCGTCTCTTGGGGTTGGCCTTACCAGGGCGCTTCTTGCCACCACCGCTCCCGCCCTTGGTCTTCTTGTCACCGCCCTCAATGTACTTCATAAGCTCATCAATGTTACGACTATCCTTGGTACTAGGAGCAGCTCCCCTGGCGCCAGGAAGCTGCGCGGGCGCACCAGTGACCGAACCCACGCCGACGCCGCTCGAGGTGAACTTGTAGCCGGCACGCGCTCTCTTGGCCGCAAGTTCCTTTGTCTGCCTGGCAATGGACACAGCATTGTGTGTCAACTGCGTAAGCCAGTGCTCGGCCTCCTTGGTGTTCTTGTCGTCCGCACCCAAGAGGGCCTTGAAGATGCTGTAGCTTTCCTTCATGCGGTCAACAGCAGCCTTCGCGTCCTGGTCGAGGGCAAGAGCCTGGGCGAGTTGGAAAAGAAGAGTGGCAGAGTTGATCGAGTTTCTGCCAAAGACCTGATCGCAGACCCGGAGAGACTCCTCAAACCACCGGCGAGACTCAGTGTAGGCCCTGATGCTCTGCAGCATCACCGCGTAGTTGTTGATCGTCGTGATGGTGTCTGGGTGGTCCGGTCCATAAATCAACTTCCACACGTCAAGCGCGTGTCTGGCGTACACGAGAGCAATCTTGCTGTCGCCACGCTGGTGGAGGAAGAGACTCAAGTTGAGGTAGTTCAACACCGTCTCGGCCGAGTCGATGCCAAGCGTCCGCTCGCTCACAATGACAGCCTTTCTGGCAAGCTCGACGGCCGCATCCTTCTGGTCTAGGTTGAAATACATCTGAGAAAGGGTGTGGTACATCTGAGCAACCTCGGGATGGACGAGGCCATAGATTTGCTCGTGGAGAGAGAGGGACTCAAGAAGGAGGTCCTCGCCGATCTTCTTTTGACCTTGGTAAATAGAGAGACGGCCAGCCTCGAGAGCCTCTTCGGCCAAGGCGCTCCTGGGGCAAGAGTCCTTGATGAGGGGCACCACGTTGACGAAGTCATCCGAGCTGAAGGTGTGCGGGACCGTGGTCGAGACAATGCTGGATGGGGAAGCATCACGAGCCTTCTTGCCCTTCTTCTTCTTGCTGCCGGTAGACTCAGTGGCAGCTTGGCCGTTAGTCTGGACTGGCGCAGGCGCCGGCGCAGCAGCAGCGGCGGCGGCATCAGCCTCAGCCTGGGTGAAGTGGAACTTGGAGGCCTGAAGCTGAAGACCGAGCTTCAGGGCAGTCTCACGGAGCAGCTGCACGGGCCTGGCCTCGGTGTACCAGTTCTCGGCCAGGGTGTATCTGAAGCGGCGAGCCACTTCGTGCTGGACCTCCTCCCTGAGACTCTCAGGAGTAACCTTCTCAAAGGCAAGATCAGCATCGCTGAAAAGGGCGCGGTAGGCCTCGTCGATCTCAGCCTCGGGCTTGGGGTTGAGACCAAAGCCGAGAAGGCAGTTGTAAAGGTGGGCGAAGCAGGCCGAGGTCAGCGACAAGGGCAGGCTCTTGAGGTACTTGGCAGCGATGTGCTTGAACGCTCTGGCGATCATCTCGCGCACACAGACCTCGCGGAAGCACTTGAGACGATCGCCATCAACCTTCTCCTCCTTGTCGGTCGTCTCCGGAGCGCTCTTCTGGGCCAATTTGCCAAGGTAGCGCATGTTGATACCGCGGCGGTGGAGGAGAGCGCTCAAAGAGCGACCATCCATGGGGAAGCTGATATCTGACTCCTTGAGGTCGCGCAAGAGAGTGGGGATGACGGTTTCGGTGAGATACTTGCAAGCATCACGGACGTCTTGCTCGTCCTTGGCCATCTCCTCCTTCTCCTCGTCGGTCTGGGGGACCTGGCCGCTGAAGACATCGGGGTTCAGGGCAAACTTGAAGCCAGACATGTCTATCCTATCAGTCTTCTCCTCCTCCTTCTTCTCCTCGGCCTCCTCGGCACCCTCCTCCTTGGCTTCTCTCTCCTTCTTCTCCTCCTCCTCCTTGATCTCCTCCTTGGTCTCCTCCTTGGCCTCCTCCTTGGCCTCCTCCTTGGCCTCCTCCTTGGCTTCCTCCTTGGTCTCCTCCTTAACCTCCTTGGTCTTCTTAGAGTCACGCTTGCTGACCTCAGCACTGAGATACTCGCGGGCCTTCTGCTTGCTCAAGGACTCAACGAGCTCAGGACGGAGGACAGTCATGCGGTGGGGGTACTCAGCACCCTCGGGGCTGGCCTCCTCCATCCATTGGATATCCAAGGGGGTGATGCGGTACAAGTCAAGGACGTACTTGCGACCGTCGGTTCCAAGAAGGCCCTTCATCTCAACACTGGCTTCGAGATCATGGCGCTTGTTCTCTTTGTCCCAAACGGCGTGCTTCTTGACCCGCAGATAGCTAGCAAGCGTCGCAAAGCCGGGGGCAAAGGCCTCATCGGCAGCAACGACATCCTTGCCATCAACAGCACCGTAGTGAATCTGGTTCTCACCAGGCTCGGGCTGCTTAAAGATGCCAGGTACTATGCTCTGACCGACAATCCGCTTGCCAAGGTAGTCAACGACAACGGTGCCAGGAGTGTAAAGACCGTCAATGTCGAGCTGATTCACGAGCTTCACACCGAAAACGTCCTTGCCAGTAGCAACCTTGGCAGCCTCGTCGCCGCCCTCGCTGGTGAAGGTGCCGACGCCGTCAGCTCCGAACGAGAAGAAGACGTTGTTGTAGACAAAAATCTGCGCATCCCGGCCCTCGGTAGGGTTGAGAGGAGCAACCTCGCCACGAGCAACGAGAACGGCGCCGCGAGCAGCAGCGTCGTTGTAATCAGCGTGGAGTTTTGCGATAAGTCGCTCTCTGAAGACACGGTCCTGGATGGTATCCTTGGGCAATTCTCTGGCAGATTGAAACTCCTCGTTCCAGTCACGGAGCGAGTCGGTATTCTCGGCACCACCGAGGAGGAAGGTCTCCTGTGATCTCGTAGGGTCGGCAATGTGAGCAACCAAAGGTGAGGAGGTGGATGGCACGAGCCATGGGGCGGATGGCACAGTGTTGCCGATCTGGAAAGTGGCGAGGGGATCCTTGCGATTAGCAAACTTCTGGAAGGCCTCGTAGCTTTCAGCAAACGATGGTGAGAGCTTCTCGAGAAGAGTGTACAAGGAGTGGGCCGAAATAACACCAGCCTTCTTGTCCTGCTTCGGTGATGGGTCGAACTTGCTGTTGGAAGAGTTGTTGACATAGAAACCACCGGCGTGGGAGGTAACCTGGAACTGCTCGCCCTCGTTTGTTGTGATGGTCAGGTAGAGCAAGTGGCCCTTTTGCCTGAGAGGCGCAGGAGGAGGGTTCCATGAGGACAAGGTGATCAGCTTGACAGTCTTCGGCGCAGCCTCGTGCTCCTTGGGAAGCAAAATGGAGGGGCTCACGCCCGCCTCGAAGTTGTACTCCTGGACAGCGACCTCGGCCCCGGCCTGCTTGTCAGCCTCGGCTACCACATCGTCAAAGACCGAAGCACCCGACAGGATGCCCTGTACCGTGTCGGTACGGTCCCCGGCGGCGCCAATCAACTCCCTGACCCTGATGAAGTGAATTCTGGCCTCCTTTTCGCTGTATGGGTCCTCCACCACATGCAACTCTGAATTGTTGGCGAGGCCCTCAACATCGGAAACGTTGATGAAGTCGTTGATGCGCTGCCCATTGTGCTCGAGGTGGAAACACGAGTATTGTACAGCAATCGGGTGTTCAATGATCGATTGTCTGATTTCGTGGATTTGTTCCAATGGTGACACCTGCGCTTCTGTCTTAGCATACTGCCTCCAGCGCCATACATGGCACCACACAACATACCGGGAGTTCAAAGGTCTTATCGTCGTGGGGAAGAACGATCTTGACAATGAAGGGAGCGTCTATCAGGAAGGTTAGAGAGGATGGCATAGTGTAGATGAGGTGGGTAGGTGGTCACACACCTTCAAGCTGCTCCTCCTCCTCCTCCTCCTCCACCACCTCTTCGGTCTGGGTCTCGGCAGGCTTCTCGACGTTTTGCTCGTCGGCTACTGGTTCCTCTGTAGGTTTTTCGTGTGTTAGACAAGCAGAACCACCACCATCATCATATAAGTGAGGGGTCGCATACTGGGAGGGGCAGCAGCAGCAGTGGTGGATGTTGCGTCAGCCATGTTGACTTGATTTCTTTTTCTAAGTTGCCGATATCGCAAGGATGCAATGCTGAGCAAAGACAAGGCGGCTGTAGAATGTGTTCTATAAAGATGTGGGTGCGACCTCCAGCCGTTGGTATTTCGAGATTTGCTGTCGAAGCAAAAAGTGGGTGAAAAAATTGGAAGTGTCGAGCGTCGAGCCAAGGAATTGGAAGGAAAGGAAAGAAAGGCCCAATCAGAAGAATATACAGGCGTCCAGGCAAGGAAGAGACAGTCTATAGTGGACAGAAGGACTGTGTTTTTCTTGCGCTTGATCTGAGCCAACTGATGAGGGGTTCTTTTTTTATCTTTTTTGCGCTGAATATTCTTCTAACTTTTTTTTTTCTTTGCCGGCAACCTATGATGCAGATTTCAGGCCGGCCTAACGGGGCGGGGCGGAAACAATGCCGGCTCAGTGATCAACCCACTGAGTCAAGTATCCAAGTACCCCACACACGGGCCTCTCGTCGCCTCTCGGCACGAGTCGGGCGAGTCGGGCGAGTCGGGATTTGAGCATCAGCGATGCGGTGCGGGAGACTTGGCGGGTTGGCGACTTTCCAGAATCCTGGGTGGCACGCTAGGCCGCATCCGGGGATGATGTAAACATATTGACCCCAGACAACGAATGAAAACATCCACTTCATTCATTCATCGCGGCATCTCATCGACTTGACTTACACGACTTATTACGCACGCCGCTGCGATTGCTATCCATGCCTATTCGTACATAAATACAATACGTTGCGCTTTATATCTTTTGGAAAATCAAGACTCTATAACGGCAACAAATGAGGGCGTCCGCGCCCGTGATGCAGGGGCTATGGACTGCCAAACAATGCCACCGTTTGCTCCGTCCTCTCTTGGCCCATATCGCCGCTCTCAAAAAGATCAAGGAACGGAAGGCTGCAGTTAGGCGCAACTCGGATTCAACACAGCCCCAGCAGAGCCAAATAACAAGAGGCCGGCCACGGAAAAGTATCGTGCTCGGCAAGAGGGACAGAGGATATCCCGAGTCTGATGAAGAGTACTCGACCAAAAAGAAAGTGACTCGGAAATACTCTCGGAAAGGATCGCAAAGGTCACCAGCCGAGGATTCATCATCAGCGACAACCACACCCCCGAGAGATGGTACAGTAAGACAACGGAATCTACCAGGAGCCAGGCCTTCCCAAGATACCGTTTTCCCAACACCACATCTACGCCGCATCAGAAACCACGAGCAGTCTTCTCCTGTTATCCAAGAAAACAGAATTGAGATAACAGTCTGCGGCCACTCGAATTGCGTCAAGAGATGCAGGTTTGACGAGGAACTAGCCCGCCTTCGTTCATCTATTGATCCCGAAAGGCTTGCGCTATTTTATCATGTCGTCAAAGCCCTGGATTCATTGTTGAAAAAGACCAGGCCGGACCGCGTTGAGAATATTGCGGCTCCCAAGTCTCTGATGGCAATGTGTCTCCGGAAGATACCAGCCTACATACGCTGGGAGAAGAAAGAGATCGAAAAGGATCAGGATTCACAACCAGAACCACAAGACTGCGGCGTCTCGTTCGAAATATACGACGAGTTGGAAGCCCTAGGGCCTGCTGATGGTTGGAAGAATCTCTGTCTGGCTGTACGAGCTCACAGCATACAGATTGTTCATGAAGCTGCTGAAGAGGGACTGTTTGACGACAACATAGTGACCTTGCTGATCAGATTATGCCACGAATACCTACCGAGCAATGAATTCATGCCACTTATCGATACATTCATATTCCGCCAGTACCCAAGACCAGCTTCGAGGGACAATGACTTTGATCATTGTCAAGCATTACATCCCATACGAGTGATCCAAACGCTGGGTCACAGCACTGATCTTACACCCAATAAAGTAGCCTCACTACTTTCAGGTGGGTTCCTACCATCAGAGTGGATTCTGACGGGAGGCTTCAGAAACCTATGGCATTCAACCATCGCCCGGATAGCACAAATGAAGCCATGCGATGATGTGGTTGAGCTGGCCACCACCACTTTGACACTTCTCTGCGACCATGCCTCACCAACCCGACCAAGAGGCGTTGCTCAAACCCGCATTCGCGGCAAACCACAAAGTCAACTCGTCGATGCCATCGGAGCACTCGGAGCTGTCGTTCTTCTCAGCCAGGAAGGAAAGGACCAAGGGGCAGCTGCTTCGTCACCAACAGACCGAACATCCACCATCCGACGAAGGGTGCAATACGTGGTAGATACGTGCACCAAACAACTCAGACACCGCAAAAAGGAAGGTCGCAAGCTCGGAACCTACCTCTTTGCTCTTTGCTCCTTTCTCTGCGTCGACACGACTACCTCTTCTGCGGTGATAGAGTCATCATGGAGGGGTGTGCTCAATTGCAAGGGTAACGCCAGTCTGATGCTTCAGTATGATGCCACCATCGCATTGTTGGCATCGATAGTGCAGTACTGCGTTCGTGGGACGAGGTTGGACACGCACATGTATCTTTTGCAGCTGTGCGAAAAGCTTCAGAAATTGGATTTGCCCAGGGGGGCATTGAGTAATATCCAGGTTGATGCTGCGTTTCGCGTGGCGGAAAGTACGGGGAACATGAGGGATCATGCTTTTGCGGAGGGGTTGAGGGCGAAGATGAACGCGGCTGCTACGCCGGTTCCGGAGGGGGGGAGGAGGAGGGGGAATTTTTCGGGTATCAAATGGGATGATGTTATTAGTGAGTGGGTTGCTGCTACGCCTGGGACGGTGGGGGGGAAGAAGGGGGTTGGTCGTGGTTCGATGGCGGCACGATCAGCAGGGATTGCGGAGGTGTTGGACTCTGAGGAGGAGAGTCAAGAGGACTACCATGGGGATGAAGTCAGTGATGAGAATGATGTCGACGCGGAAGATCTGGTGGATTTTGGCGAGCATGATTCGGAGCATGAAGAACCTCCATCTGCCACGGAAGAAGACAGCATTGAGCAGGGCACAGCACCCAACTCTTCCTCAGCGTCAGAGGACGACGACGATGTGGACCCAACCTCTCCCATCACGGAACCCTCCCCCTCCGAAGCCCAGCAAGACGACCAATCAGAAGTTGAGGACAACAACAAAGAGAACTTTTTCCCGGAAAACGACGACGACGACGGGTTTGACCAACCGCCCTCATCGCCTACCAAACCAAGCCGTGTTGTTCCGAAATGCCTCCTCTCGGCCAGACCAAGACGGCTATCAAGACCGATCACCAGAGGTGGTGATGAGCTAGGGATGGACTTGGACGGAAGCAGCAGTTCAGGAAAGAAGGTGTTGGTGACGAGAGATAGCACGAGCAGTTGGCTCAACAGGAACAAGCCTGCGAGGTTTCGGCCGGCGAGGCCGTCGAGAGTGTCGTTGGGGGTTGGGGATAGCGCGACTGATGATAGTGATGATGAGTTGTCTATTCTCTGACCTATTACTACTACTACCTTGAGATGGGGCCATGTTTGAATTTGGCCGGTTTTGAGCACGCTACGAGCTTGGTTTGGATGGGAATAAGACGGGGAGGGCAGGTATGGCATTGCATGATGGGGTTGGAACTATGTTTGGGATTATAACTATGGGTGTGTGATTTTGTTTGGATGGGAAGAGTGAGCTCAGACCCTCACATGCGTACATTATGATGCGGTTGGTGAGACGTATATTGTTGGAAACTAAGGAATGCCTATTGATTTGAGCAGCCTTTTGGAGTTTGGGCTCCTGGAGTCGTTTTTTAATAGACTAGGTGTGATGCAGGTTGCCAAGGACTGGTACAGGGTAGAGGGTCATCATGGACCGTTGAACATATCTGTACAGAGGGAATAATTGTAATGAAGTTTTCAAAAAAATGTGATGTAAGAAGATATTGGATACGTATCGTCGTAGAGAATGTCCCATCAGACTGTCCATCTCATCGTCACATGGTAACGGTTGGTTAGGTATCAATTCTAACTGCGGGACATGGTAGAAAACCTGAAACACTGAAGCCATCTCGCTTGGAGCTGCCCGTCAACCCAACCCACATCCCGTTTATGAAAACCCGGGTTTAGATCCATGCCGTTGCTCATATCATCATCTCGCTCATCTGATATGATCTCCGTGATGCCTATGGGTAGTGGTGGGGTTGTTTGAGATCTTCGACATCCTTGGTGATGATGATTATGCGGGTTGCCGGCCCATCTTTTGCTGAGTGAGATTTTGAGGAGAGGGTGTGAACCATGGGATATTACAAAATTGGGGTTTACAGATATCATCTCGCTTTGTACGGCTGATCAGTTGGGTGTACGGTGAGTGGGTGCGGTGTCTACCGTAGCCAAGGTACGGAGGAGTAGCAGGAGAGGTTTCCACCAACCGGATACTTTCTTACGGTGAGGAATGGTGTAGTGGAGGTGGTGGGATATGACGAAAACAACAGAAAACAAAGACATGGTGGACAACTGCATGAGGCTATTCGGGCCATTTCCTCACACACACAGCAATGTAAGGGCAGGTGGGTAGGTTGGTGATGGTTCATGGCTGACTGACTGAACGCTGACGCAATACCCCGCTTCTCAAGGCTGTGATGTTGGATAATGAAGAACACATCCACGACTATCGAACCCCCCCGCGGATGTAGTGTAGCCCAATGTTTCATGACCGTTCCGATGGTGTGGGTAGCCGTTCGTTCACGAAAACTGAATGATGTGAGCTGAGAGACAATTTTATCCGAATACACTTACAACAAGATATGATGATTTACAAAACCGCCGATGTTAGAGTTGGTGAAAGTTTAGGAGAGAGTTCCCCAATGATCTGGATAGGTACGTCAGGGAGAGAGGTGGTGGTGTTTTGTCTCAATTTTTTTGTCCCAAAAGCTTGACTTGCTATCCCGACTATCGTCTCTACGCTCAAACGGCTGCTTGCGTAAGGCAACCCCGACCCCTTCCCCGGGCCATCATGAGAGGCCAGGTTGCATCGCTGCACCGCCGCCTCGCATTGCTTTGCTGGGCAGACAGGCAAGCAGGTCCCTTCCAACGGCCGCCTTACGGCTGGAGTTTCCAGCATCTTTTGAAAAGGCGCGGAGAGTGTGGCATGATGAGGATGAGGCTTTGCGATTTGGAAAGATAATGCACCGATTGTGTGCAAGTTCTCAACAGGAGTCATCGGTTTGGAAACAACTGACAACAAACAAAAACATGCGGCCCGGTAGGGTTGGTCTCACTTGGTATCCCTAATATTGTCTCTTTTTTTGTCCTGTGGTGTCACCGTCCCTGGATTGATGCAAATATGCTACTGTCATACTCTGGTTGGGACAGCGAGAGTCTAGACTCGGCAATAGGCAGTGAGGCGGCATGGCTGTGGACAGCTATAAACGCAAAAAAAGCCACCGGTATTCTCCTTCTGGGCTCTCCGTTTTTCAATCGTGTTCTCTCCGGTAGGGCCGGAGCGTGAGTGGCGGAACGGAGCTTGGTGCCCGGCTAGGGATCACCGCGCAGTTGCCTGTTTGTTACAGGCCTAACTTATTTTAGTATTTCTGTCGAAAAACATAAAAAAACACAAGGACACCTTACAGATACAACTACATATATTTATGAGGCTAAAGTCAGTTAAATTAAAGTGAAATGAATATAAAATAAGATTTAAAAGCATGAAAATTTAATATAAATAATACTTTAGTATACATTACAGCCAAAAAAAAGTTTTAAAAAAGTTATAATTACCTAATTGAATAACTAGTGAATTAATTGATTTAATAACTAATTTAGTAACTAATGTAATAACTAATTGAATCACTAATTTAATAACTAATATTATAACTAAATTAGTAACTATTAGCTTTAAAAATAAAATTTAATAATATAAGCTTTAAAGCTTTTACTTAATATCCTGGCATAATTAAGCTTACAAATATAAATAGCGTTAATTTTTTTAGCAAGAAGTAGTTAGAATATTCATTAGATAGCTCTACACGAAAATGCGGTTGATTTTGGTGTGTTTTGACTGTTTTTCGATGTTTGTGGGATCTTTTACCTGATGTGGCTAGACCCCGTAACCAACAGGAGATTACGTCGTGATGCCTAGCCGGGCTTGGCTTTTGGATTTTCTGGGAGTCTGGCCGAGGGACTTTTCTTGTGGTGGTGGGAGGAGGTGATGTGCTGAGGAACTTGGATCAGCACAGGGACAACCCAGGCGATGGTCTCCCCTGTGGCGTTTCACCTTTGCCCAATCGAAGCTCCGTTCGTGCGTTGTCTTGGCATCCCGTACCTGTTTGCACTCGCACCGCCGCGCTGCGCTGCGGAGGATGAGGAGGCCTGGTGGCCAATGCATGAGCGGACGGACCACCATTACGAAGCATGTGTCTCCGGGAATCCAGTCAAGTGGTTTTGCTGGGATCAGCTTCCAGCCGAGCTTTGGCAGAAGAAGCAGGGCGAGCTTGTTGCAGCAAGCGGCCATGTCTGGTCTGGGAGCAAGACAGATGTCGGGTCTCGATTCTTGTCGCGGGTCATAAGGTGAACATTGGGGCTGGGTGGTGAGACAGGATCGGATGGTAAGATATGGTATTGAAATTCAAATCAGCAGCGCCATCTTTCGCTGTAACGTGCAAGTTTAGCCGTGGAATTGTGAAAATACCATCTTGTACCAACCCCGGGACGCGTCAGTACGGACCGGTGCAAGATGCCCAATTAGGAAATAGGAGGGGTCGCTGCCCCCTGGCGGGCTTCCCGCACCCCCCCATGTCGACAAGCCGTTCAATTTTCATCGTCTCTCCCTTCATCTGTCTCCCAGTCCCCCGGTTTCTTGGATTCTTGGCTAGATCTGCCATCATCTTTCGTCCTTGGACGACTTCCTTCTCTTTCCCCTTGCACCACCCAGCCTGCATTGATTTTGCATTTCATTCTTTCCACCCCCTTTGATTGCTATCAACACTCTCCCTTGACTGGCCGAGAGCTTTCTCTTCTGTCCTTGCGACCTTGAGGCACGCATTGTGTGGTTTAAACATACAATTTCATTCTTTTTTTGTCCACATCTGGTTGGCATTCGACATAGAAAGCGAGATATCGGGGTACTGGGAAAAAGACGACAGACAGACAATCAGCAATCACAGTCACGCAGCTCAACGTTCCTTGATCATCATCCCATTGAGCACCACCTCAATCCACTCAACAATAGGTATTCAAACCTTCCAGCAGGACTTGGACAGGAAATCTGGATACCACAGCATTCGTTCTTTTCTACTCGGCAAAACAATCGGTGGCCCGTACAGCTTCGACAGCATTCAGCGACATCAGATGAACCTTTGACATAGGTTGCGATTCAACTTACCAAACACCACCTACTAAGATAGAGTGGAGCACGATTCAGTTTTTGTTGGAGACAGGAACATCAAAATAACTCGACAGAATTTGGGAGGATTCAACATGTCGGTATCGGTTCCGGGAAATGCCACAGCTGGCGCGCAGGCAGGTGGAGGGGGCCATGGAGCAGCAGCGGGAGGAGCTACCAGCAGCGTGGATCATGCTGTCGTGAACAAGATGCTTTCTCACTACTTGTTGATTGTTCTGGGTGCAGTCTCGGGAGCCCTGCTCATCTGGCGAGTTACCACAGTCTTGGTCCGATATGTCAGGACGGTAACCTGCCTTCACAACGACCAACAGCGATACTTCGCCAAGCCATCCCACAACTACTCATGGTTCCAGAAGAACATCCTCTACGCACCCATCTTTAGCAAGAGGCACAACCGCGAGTTCCAGATCAGCTCGGCCCTCAATGTCGGCACTCTTCCGTCCCGTCTTCAGCTTTTTTTCCTCTTGGCCTACCTTGGCACCAACGTTGCCTTTTGCGTCATGACCATCGACTTCTCCGGCCCTCTTGGTCAAGTTGCGGCACTCATTAGAAACAGGACCGGATACCTCGCTGTTGTCAACATGATCCCTCTGTTCCTCATGGCTGGCCGCAACAACCCTCTCATCAATCTTCTCGGCATCTCTTTCGACACCTTCAATCTTCTTCACCGCTGGTTTGGGCGTATTGTCATGCTGGAGTCTGTTGCCCACACAGTGGCCTGGTTGGTTGGCAATGCTTCCAAGAATGGCTGGAGCGCTGCTTTCAACACTGCCATCACCGTCAAGTTTCTGATGTGGGGATTCATTGTAAGTTATCTTGGATCTAATGTATCGAGGAACATGGCTAACAAAGTTCTGTAGTCGACCTGTGCCATGATTGCCCTTTGCATTCAGGCATCCAGCATTTTCAGACACGCCTACTATGAGACCTTCAAGATTGCCCATATCGCCCTCGCCATCTTGGCGGTTCTTGGTCTCTGGTACCACCTCGACCTCAAGAAGCTCCCACAGCTCAAGTATCTCTACGCCGTTTGTGCCCTGTGGATCTTTGACCGTGCTGCCCGTTTCCTTCGTGTCGGATATCGCAACATCGGAGCCGGTGGGACCAAGACTCTCGTTGAGGCTCTCCCTGGCGGTGCCTGCCGCGTGACTGTCAGCATGGCCCGCCCTTGGGATTTCCGGCCCGGACAGCACGCCTACCTTTACATGCCATCTATCGGTTTCTGGCAATCTCACCCTTTCACCGTAGCCTGGAGCGACGAAGCTGAGCAGCTCGACGGTGAAAAGGGTCTCCCGATGGACCGCCACGATGTCTTGTATCAGAAGAAGACGTCTGTTTCTTTCATCATCCGTGGCCGCACCGGCTTCACTGGTGCACTCTACAGCCGCGCGGCCGCCAACCCCGACGGAAAGCTTGTTACCCGTTGTCTTGTCGAGGGTCCCTATCGCGGCTCTCATCAACTTCACTCGTACGGAACAGTCATGCTCTTTGCCGGTGGTGTTGGTGTGACCCAGGCCGTTCCCCACGTCCGTGATCTCGTCGCTGGTTATAGCAACGGGACAGTTGCTGCTCGCAAGGTCATCATGGTCTGGGTGATCCAGACTCCTGAGCACCTCGAATGGATTCGCCCCTGGATGACCGAGATTCTGGCCATGGAGAAGCGCCGCGAGGTTCTCAAGATCATGTTGTTCGTCAGCAGGCCTCGCTCGACCAAGGAAATTCACAGCCCCAGCTCGACAGTACAGATGTTCCCCGGCCGACCCAACATCGACACACTGCTGGGTATGGAGATGGAGAACCAGATCGGCACCATGGCTGTGACTGTGTGCGGGCCAGGCGCGCTGAGCGATGAGGTCAGGCGGGCAGTGAGAAATAAGCAGTATAACGGAGCTGTGGACTTTGTGGAGGAGGCCTTTTCGTGGTAGTCACACGATAGGAGATGAAAGGGGAGTGAGAGGAGGTGGTGGCATTGCATATTTATTTTCATTCCCTTGTACATATTTTTTCTTTGTTTTTCTGGAGTTGGGATGATTCGATTTTGGCGCTCACCCGAGGTATCGCGCAGCGATTCAGGAGAGGAAGTAAAAGGCTTAGACAAGCCTGATGATGATGAGAAGATAGATACCAAGAATATTTTGGATCTCACACAACAACATTCATATTGTAAATATTTGATTATCTATATTTCCATTCCACGGTTGCATTTCAGCTTCTCTTCGGTGTGTTGTTGTTACCATTCAGGGGGTCACACGGCACTCAGCATGCTGCCCAGTGACAGGGGGAGGAGTCGACCCCGCATTTGACCACACCCAACAGCTCCGCCTGGGGGCTAACGCTCGTGACGTCGTTCCGGCGTTCCCCCAAATGCGGTTGGCCTTCACTGGGAACCTCGTTCTTTATCAGCGCTGCCAGGTGTGCCCACGCGCCCTTGTCTTATCGCTGGTCATCATTACACTTGCTTGCCATTTGCTTGTTTCTCCATCCTATCCATCAAGGTTCGGGGTTCATCCCGTGATAACTTCCCAACTATTCTCTTGTGTTTGTTTGCCTTGTCGTGGGATATCTACTGCACCTGTACTGTCGTCTGTTTCACCACTTGTTCATTACCGCTGCCGAAGTAGCCCAATCCCGACACTCCCGACGCCCCCGATAGCGATCCCCGATCCCGAGGTGTTGACTCGAGAGAGCCAGTATCCGATATCCGAACCAGATCCCGTGCTTTCCTGCCTGCTGTCGACTCGTGCTGCCTTACCGCCTGTCTATTCGTGTTTATCTGTCCTGATCGCACCTCACAGAATACCGCCGTCGCTAACAACTACCACATCCATATCGGCCCAAGCCAGCAACAGCCATAACCAAAGTAAAACAAGACACAAGAAATCAAGCTACCCATCGCCAGCTAGCTAGGCAGGGAGAGTGGTCCAAGGGAGCCGCCCCCCAAAACCGCAACCATGGGCCTAACATACAACACCTACCTCAACTCGGACGTCATCTACGGCTGCAAGAACTGTAAGGCACACTTGGCTAACGCCCATGACATCATTTCGCGGGTATGTCCTTCCCCTTCCATTGTCCCTTCTCCCCCCCCCCTCCTTGTACAACAGGGGACTCGCTAACCGCTCGCCTATTTCCCACCACCAGAACTTCCGCGGCCAACATGGCAAAGCCTACCTCTTCAACACGGTCGTCAACGTCGAGACGGGCGACCCCTCGGAACGCAACATGACGACGGGGAGGCATGTCGTGAGGGATATACAGTGCCGGCAGTGCAAGGATGTGGTGGGGTGGAAGTATGACAGGGCGTATGAGAGCTCGGAGAAGTACAAGGAGGGAAAGTTCATTCTGGAGGCGGAGTTGCTTTGTAAGGTTACGTGAATCGACAGTGGGATGGGTCGAGTGAAGAAGAGGGCATGGTCTGGAGTTTTGGGTTTGGAGTCTAGCGGTGGGTTTGTTTTGCTTGGGATTGGTAATGGGTTGGGTTCTTGCTTGCTTTCTTGATTTACTTGACATTTATGGGGTTTAGGGGTTTATTGAGACATGATGGATACGAAGATAGGGGGAAGGATTGATGAATTGCAGAACAGAGCAGCATTGATGTGTGGAGCGTGTACCCTACTTACATATGAGATAGGTAACGTTGGCACACTTTATACACACTCCTGTACCGTATGTGAAATGGAAGGAGCCAAGGGAAATGAAGACTCAAGAGGAGGAAGGAGCCGTGAGGGTCAAGAAGGAACGGTGGAATGACAATGAAAGAGCACAGAGGGAAAGCCCGCAGACAGGGAAGGAGCCATCGTGGGGAGAAGGAAAGAGCTACCAAAGAGACCGCTTTCTTCTCTTCGGACATCCCCTCTGTCATGGCAGACTCCAGAAGATGCTGACTCAAATAAGTGCATACGGCAACCAATGCTACCACCACGATCATGAAGTCAACTGAAGCTTTGGCGGCAACCGCCACGAGGAAACCAACACTAAGGCACCACGCCCTCCGCACTTTAGCAGCCAATCCAGTTTGTTCGCCATATCTCAGTCCCCATTCTTCTGACTTTCGCACCTCCGACGCCACGGGGACGACTTAACTTCGGTCAGGGACCAATTCAGGGAAAACACCACTCGACAGATCGGTTGTCTGCGGACTCAATCTTGGCCTCGTGTTCCATGATCAAACTTGACAGCAAAACCATGGTCCCATCCCCTAGCCCCCTCCACATCGTGGACATCAACAGTCGGACTCTCGTCCATAGCAGCCCAAGAGTCATGTTCATGATACTGAGATGAGGTCAAGGGGCATTCCATCCGCACATGAGGTGCGAAGATAGGGGCAAAGCCAAAACATAAGAACTCCAGCTCCCAGTATCTCTCCCAGGCCTCCATCAGCTCATTCCTCCATCATCCTCTTTCATCCAGTCAATCAGCCTCGTATTCTCCTCATTTCTTTGAGCAGCATTCTGAGTACCAGCGTCATGTCTTTGAGTACCCTCCGCACCGGCCTCGCGGCCTTGGTGCTTGCCCACGGCATCAGAGCGGCCCCGACTCCCTCCGAGCTCGATCTCAACACTATCCCTCCTCCTGCGGTAAACCTGACTGCCGTCACGGATCTGGCCAGCTACAGCGACTTCACCGTCTATGACAATTGCGACTGCAACAAGAACAACGGTAACGAATACCGCAATAAGCTCAACTGCGATGTAAGCCTCCCTGCCCCATCAAGGCTTGCTTGTTGATTTACTGACACATGTTTCTTCAAGACCAAAGTAGCCGACCACCGCAAGTCCGTCTACGTTGACGGTCTGGCTGCCGCCTTCGGTGGCTTTCAGGACAAGCACGGCAAGTTCGAGTGCGGTGGCCAGTACTTTGGCATCCTCTTCCAGGGCTGCTACGACCTTGAGAAGAAGTACAACGGCCGCATCCGCTGCCTCCGCCCCGTTCCCCCCGGATGGATCGAGAAGCACGGTGGCAAGGGCTACGGTGGTGGCGGCTATGGCGGCTATGGCGGCAACAACTATGGTGGTGGTCGGGGCTACGGCGCTGGCTACTCACCTTCCGGCTATGATTCGGAGGGTTACTGCGACCAGAATAGCCACAACTATGACAACTGCGATGGCCGCCAGAGGGGTTATGGTGGTCAGGGCGGGTACGGTGGCGGTTACGGCGGTTATGGCGGTGGCCACGGCAATAACTATGGACCTGGTGGTAACTATGGTGGCCGCGGTAACAACTATGGTGGGCTCGGCAACTACGGCGGACACGGTGACAACTACGGGAACGGCAACAACTATGGTGGTCACGGTTCCGGTTACGGCAGTCACGGCTCCGGTTATGGCGGGCCCGGTGGCAACTATGGCGGCAGTGGTTACGGCGGCTATGGTGGCGCCCACAACAGCCATGGCAACTACGACGGCTACGGCAATGGTTTCGGCAACAACTACGGTGGCCATGGCTCTGTCCATGGCGGCAATGACGGCTATGGCAACAAGTACGACGGTCACAACTCTGGCTATGGTCACGACGGTCACAGGTTCGGCCAGGGCGGCTACGGTGGTGTCTCTCACGGTTCTGGCTATGGTGGCCCTGACGGCAACAACTACGGTGGGCACGGCTCTGGTTATGGCGCTCATGAGTCTGGCTACGGTGGCCCTGGCTATGGTAACGAAGGGCACAAGTATGGTCATGATGGGAACAAGTACGGTCATGATGGGAACAAGCATGGACACGATGGGCAAAACTATGGTGGCCACCAGTCTGGATATGGCGGCCCTGGTTATGGCAACGAAGGGCACAAGTCTGCCCACAACGGCTATGGCGGTCCTGGCTACGGTAATGAAGGGCACAAGTCTGGTCACAATGGCTATGGCGGCCCTGGCTACAATGGCTACAATGGCTACAATGGCTACAATGGCTACAATGGCTACAATGGCTACAACGGCAAGGGCAACTACATCGCCGAGGTCAAGCCCGAGGACCTCGTCGCCGTGGTCGAGATCCAGCCCTCAGCTGTTGTCGAGGCCACCCTCGAGTCCACCACCACCGCGTCGGCATAGATTGACAGCCGGTTCTCTGACGACCCAGATGTACATACAAGATCCAAAGCTGATGACGGTTTATGACTTGACTGGGGTGGCTGGACACACAAACAAAAGAAAAGGCAAAAGAGCGGCAAAAGGGGTGTGGAGGGGAGGAGAGGTGATCAGGGGAGGAGGGGAAAATCTTGTGTGAAGGCAGCATTTTGGTCCGCTTGAAAAGCTCATGATAACCAAAAAAGCGTGGAGTTAATTGAAATAGCATCTTTGTTTGTTGTTTAGTCTTTTGCAGCTTGTTGGATGTATACTAGATAGATCGTGGCAGGCAGAGAGAGACATGCTGTATTTGGGATGAGAGAAGGCCGAGTTAGATACATGGGGGATGCCTTTTTAAAATCTGTGTTTTTGGAATAATTGATGTTGACCTTTTGTCTTTCCTTAGCTACTTGACTGAGAGAATCATGATGATGTGATGGGCTCAAAATTTTGCTGCGGTGCTACTGACTTATTTACTTCTAGATCTTTTTCTGTGTTTTTCTTTTTTGTATTGTTCCTCACCCCAGTGTGGCTTTTGAGGACTGATGTGTTGAATTATAACCTGAGAATATCTTCTTCATACATCCATCCCTCAAATAAGCGAAAGAGATGGGACAGCAAACTTGTTGGATTTGTTCGGGAATTCATCATGTCTGTTGTCTGACGATATCAACGGGAGGATGCAAAAGGGCCCAATTCCGGAGTTGGATAGCACATACGACCATATCCAGCTATAGAAAAAAATATACGGTATCCCGTCCGCTCTGCCCTCATTTTCAAAATGGCTGAGAGTCGAACCAGGACTCAGGTTGGGTGACCGCTGGGGAATCCTCGATGTTGTGTGTTTTTTGATGTTTTTAGCTATCTGTCTGTCGTGTAACACCCCCCCGACCCCTCCCCTCCTTGGCTTAGGCTGAATGTTCGGACGATTTTTCCATTCTCGGGAATCCTGTCTCGTTGTCAAGCAAGGATTCCGACCACACAAGATCCGTTTTTTCTTCCCGAATAGCTGCTCCAAGGTAAGGTACTCCCATCACAAACTTCTTCTTGTCTGTCTGTCTGTCTGTCTCATTCCCGATGCCAACCGCCCTCTAAAATCTCAACGGGTTTTTTTTTTTTTTTTTTTTTTTTTTTTTTTGGTTTTTTTTGGTTTTTTTCTATATATCTGTAAGCCATCACTAATTAACACTGGGGACAATACGAAAAAGACACAAATGACAAGTCAGATTAAAGTGCTGACTGACAGTATACTCCCCCCCCCCCCCAGGGGGGGGCCTTGGGGCTCCCGAATAATAAGTCCACCACAAAAAAACCTCGCAAGTCCCAGTAATCAGCGATGAACTGAAGCCAAAAACAACACTCTATCACAGACATATAAACTCCACAAAGTGAATGAAAAAAAACAAAAATAAAATAGTAGAAAGCCAACAACCCCCCACCCACCCCAAACCCCCACCTCTAACCGCGCAATACTACTCAGTTTAGAAACAACATACATACAAGCACCTGCAGATGATCGAACTGTCGGTATCCACTCCTCCACCAATCTAGAATCCCCTACCCCTTCTTTCCCCTCACCTCACAAACCCCCTCTCTCCCCCAGAATACGGTAGTTCCTTTCTCCACATGTCAACCCCCGTCCCCTCATCGCCGAGAAAACTCAATCATCAAACTCGTAAGACATCATCTACACTAGATCTAGATCTCCCCGTCTCAAATCCCCGGTCCGATGGTACCCGCCCACAGAGAACTGTCTTACAATCAAAACCTGATATAGTTCGGTCTAGGTCCGTCAGGATGAGTGGGTTCCAACTCATGCACGTCACCGTGAACGTCAGCTCACACACAAATCTCACACACTGTCTAGCTGGCCCCCCAATGGTAGTGTAATCCACTTTGCATAATTCCCTCCCGCATCCTGCAGCAAACTTGCATGCAAGATCTATCGTGTCGGGGTTAGTGTACCTGTCGGTAACCAGCCCTGGCCGAGCGAGAGGGGGCCGAGAAAGGGTGTATTGGATCGGATCGGATCCTGGAGGTGGTATGTGATGAGAGATGGGACCCGGGTACGGGAGCAGTTGCAGTGTCGGCGGAGAAGGGAGGGGTTTGGGTGGAAGAAGAGGGAGGGGGGCGTGAGTCCAGTGGTGTGAGGAAGATGGAGGTGTGGTTGAGAGAGGTGGGAAGTGCGTGGGCAAGGCCCTACGCTACCCGCATCCTGTACCCGTATCTTGGTACCCGTAACTTGTCTAATTGGCGGCGTTCAATACAAGTCTTGTAGAAAGGGTGGCTGCGTGGTAGATGTAGTTGAGTGTGGCCAGTGAGGCCGAGAAGCAAGTATGGGGAGAACGGCCTAGAAGGTGGGTGAAGAACGATCCATCCCCAGCTTCTGGGCTCGTCCCTGTCGGTTAGCAACAGCAGCTATCAACGGCCATCCACGCAATATAGGTTTCACAACGCGTACCCACCTGCCATCCCATCCATCTGACACACCCACGCAATCAATCTGCCAATATACCCACCCACCAGGCTGCCGGCACTGGATGGTGGTTCGATTATACCATCTCGATCGTATAGCCCAAGCCAAGACAAGTCCTGGGCTGAGCAAACCTACCTACCCTTTCATACGAACCACCACTACCACCTCGACTCCACGCATCATATGCACATGTGTTGTAGCCGCTGCTGCTGCGAACTGGCGTGCTGCATGCCACACCCTATTAGCGGCAGCGGGCAGGCAAGCACCTCCAACCATCCACTGGCGGTCAGCCCGTCTTGGTGAAGTATGAGTGTGTGCTGCTGCCGGCAATCTAATTCTCGAATGGTTCTTCGTCCAGTAGGGGAATAGAACGGCGAGGAGTCGAGAGGGAGGGAAGCCTGGGCTGCATGAGAGTGATGTATGCGGGCGGCCCGATTTGGAAGTTGAGGGTGTTAACAACCGAGAGATTGGTGGAATTCATGTTGGGGGGTGTGGACGTGGAAAGCAGCAGACAGGAAAGATGAATGACGTTGAAGTCGTCATTAGTTGTTCGGATGGTAAGTGATGCTCCCCGGGGCTTGGTGTTGTATACTGGTTCCGATCGTGGTTGACGGTTTCTCTTCCGATGGATCGTGGGCCACAGGCCGAGCTTCATTATTCAAGGGGCTCTGTTTGAGACAGAGTGCTGATTTTATGACGGTAGAAGAAAGCCAGCCTAGTCTACTTTGTATGTTGGGTGCATAGAGATTGCCACTGCTAGCTGACCTCTGGCATGGATCAACACCGCGAGTTGGTGAAGGGTGTGTATGCCCGTTAATGTCTTGCTCCTTTCCTCGGCCTCCTGATGTCGGCATCATCGTCGGTTGGCCGGATATCGTGCGCGGTGGTGGCAACGGTGGTGACGCTGCATCAAGCACAGTGTCATTCATGCCACTCGTTTGGCATCGCTGAGAACCAAGTGACTAGCACGAACACGTACTTGAGCCACTGAAGACATGTAGATCGGCGTGATAGGCGCCAAGTACACCTCTGTGTCGGTTATTGGCTGGAAAGGGATGGGAAAGGATGAGACGATGCGTATTAAATGTTGGCTGTCCTCGGCGCTTTGTTCGTGAATAAGAGGTTTGGGAGGTTTGGTGACTCGAGAATGTCCAAACAGGATTTCATCTTAGAAATCTCGGGCCTGAAATGCCACATTGCTCCTGCCAGGTTACCCACTCCTCGATGCTTCCTTCTTCACCTAATGGAACGCACCTGCCTCATGGCCAATATAGCAGGTATCTTGCGTCATTGTCAGTTGAGTGTTTAACGACCATGGAAGGTACGAGGTTGAAGACACCGACACACCTCGGAAAACACCATCCATCGACCCTCAACCAAGCTCAAACACGTCCAGCAGACCCTCGAGATGTACTCAACCGTACAGGGAGCCAACCTCAAAGTCATGAGTTGACTATGCCAGCATTGGTGGTCAGTGCACCGGTCCGCCTCCGGTCTCTTTTAGCCTCTTCCGGACCCACCTCATCGGCCGCAACATTCACGCGCCCGGGCGCAGAATTGCCATCGAACTGCATACCGACCGAAGAAAGCTCCCAACGAAGAGCGAGACTTCCCAAAACCTATCAGCTACACCGAGGCGCTGGGGTTGATCCGGACAACAAGAATTCGACTTGATCTGACAGTGTGGTTTCGAGGAAGCAATGCTTAGGTCTATTTTCTTGCCCAAAGTCTAGCTGCAGCCCTTTCTTCTCATTTCTGTTTGGAGTGTGACCGTTACCACTCGGCTGTCAAATGCTGACTACTCTTACAGCCAACTGCGGAACTCCCATATCCTCCTTTGCAGTTTTACCAAATAAGATCAACTTAGTACCGACACCAGCCGTGAAACCACTTGATACATCCGAGGCAGAGCGTACACAAGTGTATACTGGCATTATATCAGACCGCTCACCCGAACCCCTCGTCCGTTGTAAAAAGGCATGGATGGCTACATTCTTGTACCACATGAGAAATACCTCACCTCATGCTCTCGCAATCTTGGCACATTGGACCTGAACTTGTCAGCCACTACAGACGAAATACCGAACCCAATCCCAACACTGACAATTCCTCCAGATAGAGAATGTCCAATATCCTACCCTTTCCCCAAAGCCCAGCCGAAACAAGCATTATTCACCAGCCGCGACCAATGTCACCCAGAGCTTCACCGGTCTGGAACAACTCCCAAGATGCGGGGGATCTCTCCCCAGTTGCCCAGATTCCAGAAGCCTAGCAGCCCTGTTACCCCAGATCTACAATTCAGCATTGGACAACAGACTTACACAGCAGTTTGTGTCCATCCCATCAGGTCTCATCGAGCCACACCGCCCCAAGTTAACCATCCACCGGCATTTGCACATACAATTACATTTACGCCACCAACCACGGACCATCGTCCGTCCCCTTCTTCCTCTCACATTGCCGCTCATCGGACATAACCGCCCCAATCTTTCCTCGATTTCACCCATCCACCCACCCGTCGTGATCACGTCTCAATTATCTCAACCCAAGCTCTCAAAGCGAAGGAGGTCAGACAGACTTTTCACGAGCAAGGGTCTCTTGCTCCTAGCTGCAGGACGCATCCCGCTGACGGCCAGGCAGTCTGCATGATAATCCGCATATCTCGACGCAGTGATACTAACTAATTAACAACAACCGCCAAGCTTTGTCGCTCGCGGGTTGGGTATGCCATATGCCGAGGGTAACACAAGGTCAAGAGCGGGGGCTATGTGTATACATTCAACGGAGTATTCGGGTGCGGCACACCTTACCTTCAAGCGAACCGGTCAAAGCCAGCCGAACCTACATAGGCACACACACAACCATACCAGACCAGACCGAGAAGAAACAAGGGTGATGTATCTCTACCCAACGCCCCGACATACATGCCATACAGCCAACTGCATCTGATACAACAAAAAGCGGAGGGGGAGGCAAGGGAACAAGGGAACAAGCGGAAGCCAAAAGGGAAGCGCGGCAAGGCCCGAGAAAAGATGGCCCCCGAAACAACTCGGGTGGACGAGCTCGAGCCCTACCTTACCATTTGCATTATCTCAGAAAGATCGACTTGTGAGATACAACATCAAAGATATGGAGCCGTTTCTCTTGGGCTGAAAAAAGAAAGCATGCTGGCTTGTATTCTTTTCGGGTAAAGGCGGAAAACCGCACCACAGGGCCAGGTACACATAGTGGTAGCAACAGGAGCAACAAGCCATGTGTGTCAATTTCCTCGTGGTGAGTGGGGGCACTGCGCTGTGTATTGCGGAAGCACACAGTTCACAGGTCACCCATGTCATCAACAACAACGGTAACAACAGGAATCAATCAACGAATCCATGAAAAAATCCCCATGAGGCCGTCCGGCCACGAGGACAGACAATGCCCGGAATATACCCAGCCCTGGTTGCTGCTGTGCTGGATGGCGTACGTACCAACTAACCCCATAGTGTGTTATTTATATGTAGGTATGACACGTTTTTATCCTTCCTTTTACTTGCTGTACGGATTATCGGTTGGGATTATATGCACGCAACAACGCATCGACCCGACCAGACCAGAGACCAACAGCCCCATCATCAGTCATCACGGTCCAAAGAGAGAGGTGCCGAAAGTTCGATCGAAAGGATGAGATGACGGATCATGGCATGACACAATGAAGGGCATCGCCGCCTTGTCCTCTTCGTCCTCTTTATTACATTACCCTACCCTTACCGATACCCCCTTACACCCCCTTCCCCTGTCCTACCCTCCCCTAGTGTACCCATGCCCGTCCTCGGATATCGCGTGCTTCAGCTTTTTTTTTTTTTTTAGTCTTCCCAACAGCCGGGAGCATTGCCCGAATGAATGATCGGCGAGGTGGAAGAAAGTGAAGCTTCCATGCTAGTCACCAAAGGAAAAAAGAAGGAGAAAAAACTAAACCGACCAGGTAGGAAGTGTGGATTACTCCACATCTTGACCGACTGTGTTCGCCTCCTGCATTATCATGCATTACCATTCATGTCTGGGTAAGGAAGTCGGTGAAGCCTCAGAGGGGGAAAAAATTTGGTCGCGAGAGATTGTTGTGTCGTGGCATCGCAGGGCAGCATTACTTCCAAATCTGGGGCTGACTGGGCTGGGAGCTGGCGAGTAGGAATTCGTTGCTTCTTTGGAAAGCTTCTTTTCCAAGAGGACCGGCCGGGCTAAATGCCAACAGGGGGTGATTTAGTTTAGGTACTGTACAGATGGTGATGGTGGGTGGTGGGTTTTTCTTTCGATGACGCGACATTAAATGGGGGTACTCCATCATCAGGCGTCCATCCTGGATGGGGGGCAGAGAAGCCCAGCTGGACTAGGTATCAGAAAGTGCTTGGGTTGGCAATTTTTTTTAGTTTTTGCTGAGCTGTTGTTTGTTGATGATGATGAGCTGTTGTTCGGGTGTTTCTTGTGTTGCTGTCAGGGTGGGGCTCTTCTTTATCGGCTACCTCTTCAGGTTGTAAGTGGAAGAATATGTCGGGACCGGCCCGGATGTGTGAAGGAGAAAAATAGAAGAGAGATTGGAAAGGATGAAAAGGTCCGGAAGAAGGTGTCCCATACAACCTGCCAAATGAAGCGGAAACTAGGAATGACGATATGCTGCCGCAGGAAAAGGGCCCGTACCCCCGAGCCGGGAACAAGCCTATGCGGTCCAAACGGTTTGGGATGATGGGTAGATGCGACCATGGGCTGGGGCCGCGGTGTAGCTCCGGTCACGGGATTATTAAATTGCTCAGGACCGCTGTCAACAAGCACCCAAGCAACGAAGAAGACAGACAGCAGAAGAGTTCTGCTGCACATTGCTGCAGTCCAAGCTATCCGAGGTGAAGCCGTTGCTACTGGCGGACGTCGCCAAGTGCTCGCCTGGCAGCCTTGTCCCGTCGGCTCACCTTACCACCGTTCCACCGGGAGAAAAGGTCAACTCTCCCTCTTTTTTTTTCTTTTCTCTCTCTTGAGTGATGAATGGGGAAGTTGATGATAGATATTGACTAGCTCGAGTCTTGTCTCGAAATATGAAATGTCACATCTCACCCCACTTCGCTCCGATGCCCACAATATCACACAGGGAGCAGGGCCAGTCGGTGGCAGCGAGCCGGAGATCTTCCGGGTCCTCCTTCTACAAGACCAAAACCGGGCAGATATCTTTGGTCATATTCACACCCCCAAAGCGAAAAACTCCAGTAGAACCGTCAAGCGCGGCGCTACTTGGGTTTAGCACCATGTATAATACCGAGTATCAGGTATCAGGTTGTCGCAGAATAGGCGGTGCAGCTCAAGTCCCAAGGTCGCATGCAAGACTAGCACTAAGCAGCAGCCAGAAATCGCAATCAGTGGCTGTCCTGCTTCCTGCCACCACTTGCAAGCTGCTTTAGCGCGACAGCTTGCCCCGCGTCTCCGTCTCGATGCTTTTCTCGTGGAGATGGGGACTGCTGCATGCAGCCTGTCTGCCGTCACCTTTTCTCTCTCTGTCCGTCTGTCTGACTCTCCATCAACAAAGCGGTGAGGGACATGCACAACCTTGGTGGCTGATAATTCCCATGGGATCGAGACACCCGGACCTATCGGGGAGCGGAGCCGTATGCTTGCTTCCATCCAGACTGTCGGTCTGCTTCTCTTCCCCCCCACACCATACACGATGATCTTCCATCGAGGGCATCCCGAGTCCAGCTGCCCGGTTTGTGGCCGCCGCTCGCTGTGTTGCTGCATCTCGTCGGCATGCCGTTGACGGCAATAGGTGCCACTGACCGACATTGCTTCGGTGGTCTCATGATCAGGACAAGACGGCAGTCGACACCACCATGGGCCTCCGTCAACGCACGTCTCGTCTCACGATTGACGCTCTCCCGCAAGTGCCGTCCGTCTCTCAGGCAGAAACCCGGGAGCACATCAGGCCGTGGTGGTCCCAGGTGCCGGTAGAAGAAGGAACCCCGCGTCCTAGCGGTCCCAGCGCTTGCCAGGGCCTCCCATGATGCTCCTCGTTTCTGGTGTCCTTTTTTTTGCGCCTTGGTGTGGGAATCTCTGCACGTCGGTCCCAGACAGCACGGGACGGAAGCAATGCAGGGTACGGGTGATGAGTGGTGGGATGTGTGTTTTGTGTGTGTGTGTGTGTGTGTGTGTGTGTGAGGGGTAGGTTGGTGTCTGGTAGAAATGCTGAATTGGGCAGTGAGCTCACATTCGCATTCTAAAGAGGGTAGAGAGAGACACTATGTACAGTTTGGTATGGATAGAAGTGAGGGTCGAAACCTGTCTCTGTTGAGGCATTCCAGAAAATGCACATGGTTGGTTGACAGGCTTGTGCAACGTCCTTGCGGGTCTGGTCTGGACTGCACCGTAGCACCCCACCTCCTCTCCACCCCCGTACCGTAGGTACCTACTGGAGTGCAACAGGTACAGTACGTGATGTAGTACAGGGTGTTGATATCCAGACCCCCCCGGGATCTGGAAGGTAGGCAAGTACCACCAAGTAGTCTCTTTTGGCACCCTCGATCAATTCGAACTAATAGTGGTCAGAGCCCCTCCACCGGTTCTCTGTTCCAGAGCTCGACTCTCTTTTTCCAAAGAAAAAACAACAACAATCAACAGACACATCGGAGAGACACCACAGCTCGTCTGACGTACCACGCTCGTTTGTCTTTTCTTCGTCCCAATTCCTCTCTCCTCCCCCCTCCAACCCTGCCCTCCTCCTCCCGACCTTCCCACCATAGTCCCGTGGACTGGTTCGGCTGAGATCGGCCCCGCATTCCATCCATCCGCCCATCGCCGGCAGCAGCCATCGCAAGGCCACCTGAGGAAGCTGCAACCGTTCTGGGAAGCAACCAGTACGTTCCAGGGCACCTACAACAATATCTCAGGATTCCCGTCACCCGGAGAGCGATTCGGAGAGGGATTCTTCTCTACGAGAAGGCTCAACGGAAAGAAAGAGGTCAGTTCTCTCCTTTGGTCTCCCTCCCCATCAACAGCACAACAGGAGGCCGTCCACTCATGAATGTTGGGGTGGTGGTGTCCTGGTGGTGGTCCAGTGTCGTTCAAGTCCCGTCGCACTTGTGTCGTCCGTGATCTCGACTCCGACCCGCCGCAGTGGCAAAAGCCACAGCCAACCCCGTCAGCTGCCTTTGCTGCCCCACCACACACGCGCGCTGTCAACCGAAAGCCATTGTCGGCTGTCGGGCAGCTTTGGAGGCTTCCAGCCAGTTACAACAGCTCATTGGCATATGTTCGAGATGCTAACAGTTAACTTGATGCACCAAGGCCAACCTCATATTGCCGCCACAGCAAGGCCGTGAGCCATCGGCCTCGTGCTGCTTTCTACTCGTCGTCCTAATCTCGTTCTGTATGTTGAAAATCATATCATCTATCTACCTAATCCACACCTGTTACCACGCAATCGAAAAAGAGTCAGACTGTCGCCTTCCACTGCCACTGCCAATCGCGCTACTGAGCCAGCCAGCCAGTCGTGCATCTCGCATATCCCAACATTGTCTTGACGGGGCCGGCAACAGCATGTCATGCAGGGTCCTGGACCGCAACGACTCTCGTCCTCCCTCCGCACTCTCGTTTTTTCCTTCTCTAGTTCTCTTCTCTAGTCCTTCGTCTCTTTTGATTTCTTTTCTTGTCTTCTAACACACCGCTTCTTTTTGCGAAAACAGGCCCAGCATGGACGCGCTGCTCCAAACCAGCGGTCCGGAGCATGATGGCCAACAATACGTCAAAGCCTTTGCCCAGGTGACATACGAAACGACTCAGAAATGCTATCCGGTCGTGCTGCTTCTCGCCTTTATTATCTCGGCCGGCATCCATAGCATCGCCAAATCGAGGACTGAGGAAGAACTCCTGATTCCGACAGCCACAGGTCCAGGTGGCAAGCCGCTGCCCATTACGAAGCGAAAACGGGAGCACCGAGATCAGCAATCGTTATATTCCACCGACGGCTGCAACGGAGGCATCTCAATCCAGGTTTTTCGGTGTTTGGTGGGCGCCTTGATTTTGTCGTTTGCTGCCAATGCGGCTGCAACTGCCCTGCATGTCTGGCAATCCAGCAAGGTTGGAGGAGAGCTGTGGTGGTGTGGGGAGGAGAGAGTTGTAAGTCGAGCCAAGAACCAAGTCTGATTTGCGCACCGGCAACAAAACAAAGCTGACATCACTGCCCAGGTCTACGTCGTGGGCGCGGCGTTTTTATACATTTACGTTTTAATCACCCTCTTTGACTGGGATGACAGCCCGACGCCAGTGCACTCGATAATATGGGTGCTTGGTCTTTTTGGGGAAGCCATTATCCTTTTATCCTTTGTCTGCACCCTCGCCACTGGGAAATATGTCTTGGACGGCGAGGAGATGGGGGCTCTCCGAGAAAACCCACTGGGTTTCTGGGACTTGACAGATCTGGGCATTGGAGGTGTCCGGCTGCTCATTGTTGTGTTTTTGGTCAGCATGTACGCCCTCGTCGCATCAAAAAGACGCCTGGAAGAACGGCGGCTTTTGGACGAAGAGGCGAACCGGTCGGACTCGGATGAAACGAGCCCGCTTCTTTCGCACAGCGGAACCGCAACACCTTACAACCGTGGACGATCAAGACAAAACTCGGATTATGGAGGCACCCGCAATGTCAACAAAAATGCCAACAACGATCCTGAAGGCGGTTACCAGCAATGCGAGGACAATGCCGCTTTTTACCGACCCGACAAACTGCCGCATAAAACCTGGTTCGAATATTGCCGTGGATACTCGATCTTCTTCCCCTATCTCTGGCCCAGCAATTCGACCAAGCTCAAGCTCATCGTCTTGTTGTGTTTTCTGCTGGAAGTCTCGCAGCGTGTCGTCAATATCATGGTCCCCGAACAGATCAAGACTGTGACAGATACCCTTGCCAAGAATTTCGACCACCCCAACACCGGAACAGGTGCCAAAATTGCCGCTGGCTTGACGGGAATCTTCAGCTTCTCTGGCGGCGAAGATAACGGTGAAAACCCTGGCAATACTGGGGCTCCGTGGTTTGATCTCGGGCTCTTCATTGCGCTCAAGCTTCTCCAAGGCCCATCCGGATTGCTGGGATCAGCCCGCTCCATTCTTTGGATTCCCGTATCTCAGCACACCTACCGCGCCCTCACGACAGCAGCTTTCGAACATGTTCACTCCCTGTCTCTGGATTTCCACTTGGGAAAGCGCACTGGTGAAGTGCTCTCTGCTCTTAACAAGGGTGCCTCGATCAACCAGTTCTTGGAACAGGTCACCTTCCAGGTTGTGCCAATGTTGGTCGATCTTTTGCTCGCCATCGGTTGGTTTTACTTCCGGTACGGAGCGATGTATGCACTTTTTGTGTCCATCATCACGTTTTACTACCTCTACTTGACCATTCGCATGGCTGCCACTAGATCTGATCAACGACGCGACATGGTCAATGCCGACCGCGAGGAAGAGGCTGTCAAAAACGACTCGATCACATCATACGAGACGGTCAAATACTTCAACGCCGAGCAGCACGAATTTGCGCGGTATCGCAATGCCATTGTCAATTTCCAGACGGCAGAGGCCAAGGTTACATGGGGCATCAATCATATGAACATGTGCCAGTCGATTGTGTTCATGTGCGGTTTGCTGGTTGTCCTCTTGACCTGCGGCTATGAAGTATCTCAGGGGACACGCACTGTCGGTGAATTCACGTCCTTGGTCACATATCTCGCCCAGCTGCAAGGCCCGCTCAACTTCTTTGGCTCGTTCTACCGTACGATTCAGCAGGCCATGATCTCGGGTGAGAGACTGCTTGAATTGTTCAAGATCCAGCCTACTGTGGTTGACAGCCCCGGCGCAGTCCCCCTGCAGGAGAGCACCGGCCATATCAAGTGGGAGAACGTTGGCTTTTCATACGACAACCGCAGAACCGCCCTTCACGATCTGTCATTTGAGTGCAAGCCCGGCACGACCACCGCTTTTGTGGGAGAGTCTGGCGGAGGCAAGTCGACTGTCTTCCGGCTCATGTTCCGGTATTACAACCCCAAAGCCGGAAGACTTTTGATCGAAGGCCAGGATGTTCAAGACCTCACCATTGACTCGGTGCGCCGCGCCATTGGAGTTGTTCCTCAGGACACGATCCTCTTCAACGAGACGCTCATGTACAACCTCCGCTATGCCAACCCCAGCGCATCCGACGAAGAGATCTATGAGGCGTGCCGGGCTGCTGCCATTCACGACCGCATCATGAGCTTCCCTGATGGCTACAACACCAAGGTGGGAGAGCGAGGCCTCCGGCTCAGCGGTGGCGAGAAGCAACGCGTGGCGATTGCGCGAACAATTCTCAAGAACCCCAAGATCATCATGCTGGATGAGGCGACGTCGGCACTTGATGGAGAAACAGAGCAAAAGATCCAGTCGAAGCTGATTAGTGGCAAGTTCGGACAAGGCCGCACCTTGTTGATTATTGCGTAAGTTTTACTCGGGGAAACCGGAGCGGGTGGAGATTGTGTTAGCTAACCGAGTTGCATTGCACAGTCACCGACTGTCGACCATCACTCACGCAGACCAGATCATTGTTCTCCATGCCGGCACCATGGTGGAGAAGGGCACTCACGAGGAGCTTCTGGCCCTCAACGGTCGCTACGCCGCCATGTGGGAAAAGCACTGCCGCGCCGAACGTGCGGCCGAACATGCTCGCGACGCAACACGGAAAGCCAAGAAGCTCATGGGCTATGCAAACATTTCTAGGCCCAGCGGTGCGAATGGCTACGATAGCATGTTGTCATCCGCCATCCTGCCTACGGCCATGAACAGCCCTACGCTCGCACCGAAGCATGACGACAGCCGCTCCATCAGCTCGAATGATAGCCATCATTCTGGCAGTGGCTCTGACGGCACGCTTCAAGAGGAGGACGACGAGCAGCCGGAAAAGTTGCAGCCCAACGGGGTGAAGCAAGACGAGGAGCGTAGGCCGCTTCTGTACTCGTTCCCCTCGGGCACCACAGCTGGCCGCTCGACGGATGCCCCGGACCGTGTTTGATTTCCAAGCACTCGATCCCCTACTGTCGGATTTGTCACCACAACATTTTGGCATTTTTGCGTTTTTACCCTTTTTGAATCCGATAGAGCGCTCAACACATGCGGAGCACAGCCAATAACGTTAATAAAGCGACATTGATCACCTCCCTAATCAACTAATCACGAATCCTGGACGCCTTCAACTACCGAGCCGGGGTTGATGATTTCACCGTCCAACAACACGGCGAACTGTCGACAAGCCGGCGGTATACCCTACTGTAACGAATATCACGACACGCACGACTGTCAGCAATCACAGTATAGCACAGCACAGCGCAGCGAAGCGAGCTTTTTAATAGTCCTACATCTCAACATTCCTCTTCTGTTTGTATACTTTTTGTTTTTTCCTTTTATTTCTCTGTTTTTGGGGGTTTGCGCTGCGCATGTTTTTCTGAGACGACAGAGACGAATCTCCTCTAGCCTTGTTTTTTCTCGGTTTTTTATATTTCTTCTCCTTTTTCTTTGAAACCACGAAATGATATCCCCAGCATATGGGCGGCGTTGTGTGCGTGCTTTGACTTTTGATCAAGGCGGTGGGAGGGTGGATGGGGTGAGGAGGGGGAAAGGGGGTTGTAGAGAAAATGAATGAGAGCCTGTTTCAGCGCAAAGCGAACAAGCGAGTGTTTACTACCTTCTTTTCCCTCATGATGTGTCTGGTAGATTGGGGGGGTCCAAGGGGTCGTCCGTCTGCAGGACATCACCGACGGGCATAAAGGCGAAAGGAGTTTCATGGGGATGTTGGGGCTTATGAGTTTTGGCGTTTTGGTCGTGTTGTTTGTTTGAGCGTAAGTTTCATGGTTTTTTTTTGGGATGTCTGTATGCTTTTCATGTGTAGGACGCAAGAGGCAACGTTAATGGGGGTTTTTGTTGCCTTGCGCTGGTGAGGGAAGGGAGAGAGGCCTAAAGGAAAGGAAAAAGGGGCTTGATACCATCATTGTGAGTTGAGATGTGTGTAGAATGAGATTCTTCTGAGATATGAAGAGGGAATAACACGAAAGTCTGTCATTTGATGGACGTTATTTACAAGATTTTGAGTTGGTGAATGTGTATAATGTTTTACGTTGATGGAAGTGATGGCTTCTGGGAATGCCACACCGAGTCTAAGTGGTTGTAAGTGGTACGGAGTAAGGGTTAGGGGTGGTATGGTGGGGCAAATGGCGGACCGGCCTCACGTGCGGCAGGAAGCTCTCTGAAATTCCCATCATCGTTGTGCCAATTCAGCCATCAATCAGCCTTGTTCTTTCCCCCAAACAACATTTCTCAGCCTTGTCTTGGGTTTGGCACCGGGCTTGAACCACCCCATCTTCTCGTCTCGACTTTTACACTTCTTACTTTTGCAGTCCAACAAAGTCTTTTCTCGACTCTTACAATCAACATTCAACCATTACATTCGTTTTTATCAAAGGATACAGAAACTCACCGCAACCGACAACCACCCATCAAGGTTCTCCAGCTACTCCGAGGAACACATTTCACCATCCAACACAACCACCACCCGACAAACCAATTCTCCGGCCCCTTTCAACTGTTTTCTTTCCCTCAGTTTATTTTTTATCTTTATTTTTATTTTTATTTTACCAAATCAATTTCTACCAACCCACGCTTGAAAATGTCCAACAACAACAACCCCTCCACACCCGTAAAAATCCCCCCTTCGGCAGCTGGCTACACACCCGCCACCCTCGACCCCGAACTCCGCTCGTCAATCAACGGGACCTTGATCCAAGAGGGTCATGTCGCCAAGTTCGTCTTCCCCCCTTTCCCACCCCCCCTTCCAACCTCCCCCACCTTTTGCTAATTCTCCCAGAATCCAAGAAATCCTCCTCCACACCCTCCACGCAAACCCAACCAACTGGCCCACCCTCGTCGAGAACCACGCCCGGGATTTGTTGCGGTCGGGCGAGGTGACCACCTTTCCGGTCTTGCTGAAGAGGGTGATGGATGATATTAGGCATGATACCGCTCTTGCTCCGAGCAACAGAGCAGCGAATGGGACGCCGGGGCAGGGGGAGGAGGTGAATGTTAATGGGAAGAATGTGAATGTTAATGGGAATGGGATCAAGGTTGGTGGCGGGGGAAGGGGGGAGAATGGTAATAGTTTGGCGTTGCCGCAGCAGGTGGTGGAGGATGCGTTGAGGGTTACGAGGGAGGCGTTGGAGGGGGTGGTGGAGATCGAGGAAGGAAATCCTTAGGGGGGAATGAGGGTGAGGAAGGGGACGGGGGTTTGCGAAGGGGGGAAAGGGTGATGGGGATGTGGCTGCTGGAGCGGGGGGGTTTGAGGATAGTGATGGTGATGGTGCCAACTAGGATACTGGAGACGAGAATTTACCGCCACCGCCGCCATTGGAGGAAGAAGAAGGGGGTGCCGAAGAGAGTGGCGAGGATGAGTCTGGAGACGATGATGAGTCCGGAGACGATGATGAGTCTGGAGACGATGATGCAGGCGAGGATGAAGAAGACGAGGATGAAGAAGACGAAGATGAAGAAGACGAAGATGAAGAAGGCGAGAGTGACGCTGATGATGAAGCGGGCCACACGGCGACAGCGACGAGAGCGACGCTGATGAAGACGAGAGGAGCCAGCGGGAGAGGAACCATCGAGAGAGGAACCAGCGAGAGAGCAAGATCTTGCGAGAGAACAGAGTAGTGGGGGCGAAACACTGGTGGATGAAGATGGAGAGGTGCCTGGTTTTCACGATGAGGAGACGGCTGTTGAGACTGACAACGACGCAACTGTTGATGAGGACTATGATGTGATTGATCCTCTGACTAGCGAGCCGTATCCAGAGGGGACTGGCCCTCGTCATCGGCATGCTGCTGATGTGTATTCTGATCCGAGTAGGGGATTATTACACAGAAGAGGGGGATGATGTCGGTGGGTGATTCTGACTCTGGGATCGTGGGCATGGCATGGGTTTTTGAGACGGAGGGGAAGAGTCGGCCAGTTCGTGAATCAGCTGAATCTGGGGAATGAGGAACGGGTCTAGTAGGGATGGGTGACAAGAGTGTGTGGATATGGATATATCAGCGGGGGAGGAATCACCACGAGGTTTTGGTTTGTTTTTTTTCTTCCAGAGCGAAAGAAGAGTTTAGGGGATGCATTATAATATGTCAGGGCGCCCACCACCAAGCGAACGATAAGCAGTAGGGTAGGTCTTACACAGTTGATAATGGGAAAGCGAGTTGGGGGCAAGGGGGAAATATTGGTTTTTATGCACACAACACTTTTGTATATATAGATATATCACACCAAGAACACACACAAATTGGCACCATCAGCGGGGGCGTTAATACCATGGGTTTTTTCCTTTTCTTCATCCCCGTTTCTCTCTTCCGTGTTGTTGGCATAGTACACCAGGACGTATCTAGTTTTTGATCAAGTCTTCATCACGAATCTAAACCCCCCCGAAAGCAAATGGGGACTGATCGTTCACCGGCCAATTGCCTAGGATTTCAAAAACAGACCAAATATCCTCAAGGCCCTACACCTTTGAAGAAAGGTTATCCAAGTTGGAAGCATATCATCACAGGAAGCAATCACGAAAACACACAGTAAACAGTGTGCAATCTATAGTCTTGATTGTTTGCCATTAAAAACGGCCATCATAAATAAATCATTAGACGCCCATCGTAATAACCAGCGCCTCTAGCAACTATAAAACTCTTTGCCTCATCGCGCCCGCCCACAACTACGCAGAAAGTCCACGCTGCCCAGTCTCAAAAACCATGAGCCTCAAGACTGGGGGCAAACTTGCTACCGAATGATAGCTCCGCTGTTAGGTCAATCGAAATAACTGACCGCCCAAGTACACCGATGTAAACCCCATTTGCCTAAAGAACTCCCCGACCGATTGTGCAAACTGCTAGATAGCGTAATGCTGGAGTAAACTAGAATACATGGGCTGCGGATCTTTTTTTTTTTTTTTTTTTTGCCAAACTCGTAGGTCATGGCTGATACGTTTAGTCATAGAGACCCTCATCATCACCAGCATCACCGAACGAGTTGCCAGCACCACCGTTGCCGGCAGCACCCTCAACACCACCCTCGGGGAACTTGAAGTAGGCGCCTGGACCGGCGTTCTTCATTTGCTGGGCAAAGGCCTCATAGCGACGAATCTCGACATCACTGACGGAACGGCGAGCCATCTGCATGGCCTCCTCGAAGTGGCGCTTGGTGAGCTCAGGAACGGGGTCCTCCTCGCCCTCCATATCGACATCCTCACCGTTAGCCTCGCGCTCCTTGGTGCGCTGGATCTCGGTGGAGATGGCCTCCCTGATGGCAAGCTTGACAGCGCGCTGCGTGATGAAACCAAGATCGGCACCGGAGAAGCCGTGGGTCTTGGAAGCGATGTAGTTGAGGTCGACATCGTCAGCGACAGGAGTCTTGCGGAGCTGAGCGGTCAAGATGCTGAGACGGCCAGCCTCATCGGGAAGAGGGACATAGATGAGGGAGTCGAGACGACCAGGACGGCACAGGGCAGGGTCAAGCTGCTCGGGACGGTTGGTAGCGCCAATGACGAAGACGTTCTTCTTGGAGGTCATGCCGTCCATTTCTGGTTTCAGTGTTAGCAGATATAATCATAAACAAAGGACAGCATAACAAACATACCAGTAAGGAGCTGGTTGACGACACGGTCGGAAGCACCGCCAGCATCACCAACGGAACCGCCACGGGCCTTGGCAATAGAGTCCAACTCGTCGAGGAAGACAATGCAAGGAGCGGCGGCACGAGCCTTGTCGAAAATGTCACGAATGTTGCTCTCAGACTCACCGAACCACATGGAAAGCAGCTCAGGACCCTTGACAGAGATGAAGTTGGCAGCGCACTCGTTGGCAACAGCCTTTGCCAACATTGTCTTACCCGTACCAGGAGGACCATAGAACAGGACACCGCGGGATGGAGACATGCCGAACTTGAGGAACTTCTCGGGGTGATCGACGGGATACTGAACACTCTCCTTGAGCTCCTCCTTGACGGTCTCGAGACCACCGATATCCTCCCAGCGGACGTTGGGAACCTCGACAACGGCAACCTCGCGAAGAGCGGAGGGGTTGGACACACCAAGGGCGAAGCGGAAGTTCTCCATGGTCACACCAAGAGAGTCGAGGACCTCGGCATCGATGGTATCCTCGTCCAGATCAATGAGATCCATCTTCTCACGAATCTGCTGCATGGCAGCCTCGGAACAGAGGGCGGCAATATCGGAACCGACGTAACCGTGAGTCTCAGCAGCGATCTGCTCGAGATCAACGTCGTCACCAAGCTTCATGTTCTTGGTGTGGATCTGGAGAATCTCAAGACGGCCAGTTGGGTCAGGGACACCAATGTCGACCTCACGATCGAAACGACCGAAGCGGCGGAGGGCAGGATCAATAGAGTTGGGTCTGTTGGTAGCAGCCATGACCACAACGTTGGAACGGGCCTTCATGCCGTCCATGAGGGTCAAGAGCTGAGAGACAACGCGACGCTCAACCTCGCCGTTGGTCTTGTCACGCTTGGGGGCGATGGAATCGATCTCGTCAATGAAGATGATGGCCGGTGAGTTCTTCTCAGCCTCTTCGAACGCCTTTCTCAAGTTGGACTCGGATTCACCGGCCATCTTGGACATAATCTCGGGACCGTTGATCAGGAAGAAGAAGGCACCCGTCTCGTTGGCAACAGCACGAGCCATGAGTGTCTTACCGGTACCAGGAGGTCCGAAAAGGAGCACACCACGTGGGGGCTTGATACCAATCGACTTGAAAAGCTGAGGGTGGCGGAGTGGCAGCTCGACCATTTCACGAATCTGAGCCATCTGCTTGCGGCAACCACCAATGTCGTCATAGCCAACCTCGTTGAGGTTGTTCTCCTCCTCATCACGCTGGATGGGCTCGCCCTCGCAATGGATAACCGTATCTTGAGCGACGATGCCGTACTCAGGAGGGTCAACCTCGACAACCTTGAACTCGACCGCTCTCATGCCTCCGCGTACCACGAAGAGGTCACCTTGTCTGACGGGGCGGTAGGCTTCGCGGAAATAAGGGGCGAGGAACACGTCAAAGAGAGAACCGGTAAGGCCCTCGACGGTGTCGGCGATTGGGAGAACGGCAATACGCTTGGCCTGTAGAGGTACACTTGTTAGCATCGACACTCAGCCAACTCAAACAGCAAACAGTATCAAACTTACATATTTGATATCGGGGCATGGGTGAATTGTGATCATGTCACCGTGCTTGACCCTAAGGTTGTGACGGACAACACGGTTGATGCGGGCACTGCCATCATCGAGGTCGTCGTCGGCAAGGACGATCAACACAGTGTCCTTTCTCTTCTTGCCACGAACCAAGACAGTGTCGCCACGGAACAGCTGGAGAGTGTCCATGGTGTTGTTGGAGAGGGCGATGATGGAGTTGTCGTCATTAACGGCATCCGTCACCATCAGCTGGTTGGGCTTCTTCTTCTTCTTGAGAATGGCGGTGGCGGTGTCATCTTCATCCTTGCGCTCAGCACCAGAGGCATCCCTATTTCGCGGGGTTAGCTAGCTGTCAGTTGTTTGCCGAGACTAGAGCTTTGGGGTGTTTGATGGCATCATCCATCTCCATCCACAGAGGACAACGTACATGAGGTTGACCTTCTTCTTGTGCTCAGGGTGATCGGCACTAGGCTCGGGAGCCATCTTGTCGGTATTTGTGATGATGTCAAGTGGGAGACTCGTTGATGATGGGTCGGAGAGGAGGGGGAAACGAAGTCGGTCGTCGGCGGGGTTGTTGATAATGGGAGTTGTTTCTGGGAGATGGGGGGCCTCTCCAGCGGAAACGATGGCAGAGTTTTTAACTGCAAAAATGAAATTTGAGTTGGTGATGAGATGGAAAGTTAAAGACACCTCCAGCTCTGGCTTTCGTTGCAGGTGAGTTTGGTTTGGTAAGGTTGGCCAGGTTCCAGAGGCGATCTCTAGGCGGCCACTCGGATGACGAGTGCGGGTCCTGCCACTGCCAGCGGCAAATGTCCGTGCGTTTTTGCCCAGCAAGAGCACTGAGGACAGGTCAGGCACCGCTTATCGCTCGTTATCACTACCAGGTGGCCCGAGCTCCCTGCCTTTTCCAGCTGTTGCTGCGCTCTCCTCTCTCGAGGTAAACCTTCGAACAGTTTCCACACCGCCCCTCCATTCACTCAGCAATGCTGACCTAATTCACCTTCACAAGGCTTTCTTTGTTTTCATTCTCCGCCCCTGGTTTTGTGTGAGGTGGTTTTTGGCTGTGGGTGAATTTTGTATTCACTTTCCAGTTACGAGGCTACGCCATGGCCATCGCAGAGCCTGCCCCGCGTTGCCACTTGGCTGGGGTGTTTTGCTTCCTCATGCAGCCAACTCCAGCATTCCATCACCCAGACGTATATACCGACAGCTCAGTACCTGTGTACATGTACGACCAAGAGCTGAAAACGGATCTCTGAGAGTCTTCAGCTGAATTTGCCTCTTCACCGGAGGAGCTGGTTGTCCTCAAACATGATGTTCATCCTAACTATCATCATCAGAAAGCGTGCTTGGCCGATTCAGTGTCTACGGCAGCCAAGACGTTTTACCCCACATTCGGCCCCGGCCTTGGCACCTTTACCCTGGCACTCGGCCGGCGGAGTGTCATTGAGAATCGGGATCTGCTGAATCCCAGCTCGGGACGGGCAGCCAACTGCCGGAATGACACGGACCGACCGCCAAGACACACGGAGGCCCTATCCTATGTCTATGCTGAGAATTCAACGCTTTCATTGCCATGGTCGTGGGACAAGGAAAACATTCGAAATTGTCTAAGGACTCACCACCCACAGAGCGCTCGGCATCCATTCAACTTACTTGCGACTATAAGCTCAGTCTTCACTAATATCCTAGAATAGGCAAAAGAGATGCAGCACCACGAGGAGCCCTTCCGGGAAGGATTTAGAAATCTCCAAGGTAGATTGACTAGCAATGGCCTGTCGAGAACGTTTGTCGTTCGAGGGACACCACCACCTGACAAAGAGACGACTCAACACTCAGGTTCTCTCTTCATGCTGCTGATGACTGTCCACAGAATTACTCGCCGGGGATCAACGCTCGAACTGGTTGACACATCTATCAACAGTCATGTCTTGGGGCAATTCCCCAAACCTCGGAAAAGTGTTCGAGCTGGAAACTCGGTGTGCGACCAATGCTCTTGGTGTCATACTCACCGCCTCCCCCAAGCCAGGCTGTCGACCAAGGCTCACCCTCAAGTTTAGACTTAGGTTCAGGACGACATGCCATTCTGCCAGCAATCCTCGACAAGCATCTGCTCATTGATGTACACATTCCCATTACACTGCCCAACAGTCTGGACCCTCTTCGTCAGCCATTTACCTTGGACATCTGTCAGGACAGTCGGCTCTCGTCGTCAGGGGATGCCAGGCAAAAGCACGTACATTCCTTCCCCCATGCTCCGCAAATCACAAACATCTCTTCACCCTCAAGATCGAGAAAATCATCAGAAGAACGAGGACCCTCTCAGAAAGATTAAGTCCTTGGGAAGGTGGCTGTGCTCACCGTTCACCAAAACATTTACGCCTCACTTGGCGGTCTGAAGGAGTTTGGCTAACATGGCCGCCATGTCTGCCTGAAAACCTCGCCGCAAGGAGCCAGGGCTGCAGAAAAGCAGGGTCTAAGATCTCTTCGGTGCCTGTGGTACAGGAGATGGGCGCGGGAGCTTGTTGGTAGTTGTGTGTGGGGGAGGAGCAGCTCCTGGCTGGTAACCGGTTACACGGCCGCTTAAGCTTCCCGCAGCATAGCCGCCCTTCCCATCCTGCCGGGCCTAAAGGGTCTGAACTGAGAACAAGCTTCTGAGGCTTTCTGTCAGGTCAGATCTTTGCTGCATAGCTGTGGTCTTTCGGAGATTTGAATCGACACATGCTCCATCTGACACCTGTCCCCAGAAACAAAACAAGCAACTGGAAGGGGAATTCAACATTACAATAATTAGCAAGGCATTACATGACGCCTCCTCAAGCTGAGTGTGTGCCAGATATCCTGTCTTTGATCGATTGGACAATGCCCTTTTCACAAGGATTGTCATGGCATGCTGACAATTAATTACAGAATTGGCCCTTATCCCCTCCAGGCTCATAATTCAGGAAGGAGACAAGCCTGTGCCATCATTCAGTAGGTGAAATTGTGGCAAAACAAATCTCAAAGTTCCCAAAATCAAGAGACGCTCCATTGGCAATGTGCCAAAAAGCAGGCAGGGTTGTTGAGTACTCTGTGCCATCGCTTGGGACCTGATGCTGTGTGGTATCCACACTCGAGTCCGATGTCTAAAGTCCGAGGGACCCAATCAGCTCAGGCCATGGTTACCACACTGACCTTCGGTCAAACAAGCGCCGCGATATCGTTTTGGCCTACATGTACAAAAACAGTTATCCTTGGCCCGGGCCCCAAGCCCTGTGTTCCGTTTTGGTACTCTTCGTTTGGAGAATGCCTTACGGACAGAAACCGGTTCCAGGCATTTCTTCGACCTTGTGAGGATGCACCGGGAAACGATGGCCGCGTCCCCAGATGCAAGAATACGAACAAGACCCTCTCTGCCATCGACGTCACACATTAATTAACTGCCTCACGGATCGCTTGGCTCACTCGATGTCATGGGCTGAGACGGTAGGCGGGCAGAAGAGCGGTGTCGAAGATGGCTGTGTGCTGACAAAACATCGATCAGAAAGGAACGGCAGGAATCGGACAGTCCCATTCCCCGAATTCGTTGACCGAGAGAATAAGGTTAAGTGAAGACCGGGAGCAGCACGGAAATTAAAAACCCGGCGAGACGGCGGAACAGCGTTGACGGTTGAGTTAGGTGACGTTGTTGTAAACGTTTGGGATTATTTATCAAAGTGCAGTAGAGATATTAACAACAACTATGACAGGGAGCTCTACCAGGGAGCTATACGCACCAACGACGTTGATTGGACAACACGCGGGGACATCCATTCAAGGTTAATTCTCTGCAACCTCACTAACTCCATGCAGCGGACGACTTGCCGAAGAACCTTGCAGTCTGTGGCTGAGAAAGAAAGTTATCGCGGGTGGGATACACCGTCATAAATGTGCCGTAGGCAGCAGCAGCACACCCATTGGAGCCCGGCCGACTTGTTGTTCCACTGCACCCGCCTGCACGAGGTGTCCTCGCCTCATATGTTTTCATTTCATGATACATGGACAGGAGAAGAGTTTCAAGGAAGAGTTGTTGTGCCGTCCCCTTGGATCACCGGCCCCGCGGCGGCCGATACGTACGGTCCCGGGGCCGTCACACAGCACCACCCGAAGGATCATTAGTGATTTGGGTGGGCTTGAGTTGAGATGGCCCAGATATGCGAGTGCTAAAGGCCACTAAGAAGGACCTACTCGTTTCCTAAAGAATTCTTCAGCGAGAGGAAACATTCCTAGTGCAGTGACTTGGTTTGTAGTGGCTTGACTGACGATCAGTTGTACCGCCTAGGGCGAAGTAACGTCGGCGCGATATACTTCCAGATACGGATTCTCTATCAGCTCAGTTTTCGATACTGCGACCAGCCATTTAGGCCCCTCGGAGCCTTACGCGGCAACTTTTGTAACTTGTTCATCCGTTAGTCATGCAGTCATCGTGGCAATCCCTTCTCTTCCCCCAGTTGCCCTCGCAGTTTTACCCCACCTTTCCCCCCTCCATGCTGTCTAACGTCTGTCTCTCCACAGCTATGACCGACCCCACACGCCACAGGGCTGAGAAATCAGACACAGCACAAAAGTTGAGGGAAACACTCCCTACTGCGCAGTATGCTTGGCGAGAAGGATCGCGGGTCAGAGGGCTCGATTGGGTAGCGCTAGCACCGATGCCACCGAGTGTGGCCCATTTACGGGGGCGTTGTCGTTTCAATTTCGAATCAAGTGCTTCCGTGATCGTCTAGAAGAGCCAGTTCGTCTGGTTCAGACCCTACACAGGCTTCACACGGCTCGGGTCCGATGGAACACTGACGGCGTCGTGTATGGGACCCTGGCCCTGCGATATATGGTCTCTAGCTTTCCCCTCTTCTTCCCCTTTAGTACCGTGGCTCGCCCGGCCTTCTCATGTTTCCGCCGTGTACGACGGGAGATAGAGAATGGCGCCTTCCTTAACCGCGGCGGTGGGTGTGAAGAGGTGCATGAAATGTCAGAACCGCGCAGAGCTAGGGTTGATCGATGCCGGATTTCTTCTTATTGCTCGTTGCCACGAGCGAACTGGCCAGTCATGATGGGATGTCTGAGCAGATAAGCGCAGTTTGTGCAACGTTCCTTTCCCCTCCTGGGTTGCACAACATCTCACGATGCTTCGACACTAGCTTTTCCCAGAGCACGCTTCTCACTCTCTGTCGAGCTCACGGCACTTGGCGTGCGGCAACCACAAGCCACATACAGGTACCGGGTCCTTGAACTACGCTGCTGCGTGTCCCATCTTCATGACGCTGGCTTTATTCCCCGTTCCCGCCCTTTGACGTTGGAATGTCTCGGCCGCCCACCAGCCTGGAAGGAGATTCCAGCAATGGGAAGATCCGCCCAGTCATCTGTTAGTTGTGACAGCTTCCTACTAGGTAGGAATGGCTGAGTACTTTTCTCTGTTTACCGCTTGGTGCCTTGACTCTACCACCACTTTCCTATCTTCCACCGGG